GGGGGGGGGGGGGGGGGGGGGGGGGGGGTACAAGCGGAGTAGGCCAGCTATGTGCGCTGTTGTCGCGTATCATCCATTTTGCTAGGAGCGATTTCTTTCCCCGGAAGTGAGTCGAAAAAATTAAGATTTCGTTCTTATTTGCCCCGGTTCCTCTGATTTCGTCCGGATCAATCGATTCAGCTTTTTTTTTTACATTTTTTCCATATTTTTCGGGATTTTTCATGAATCTCTAAATTGGCCAATCTTTTATTTTATATTATATTTTTTTTTTTTATGCTTATTTTATATCGCTTCGAGTCTGATGAGACTATATGGCGATTGATCAAGACTTTAAAAATGGTTAGATCTCACCATTCTACCCGGCCAGGAATCGAACCTGGAACCTATCCGTTGTGAGGCAACGGCCTTAACCACTACGCCAGGCCACCGGGCTCTTTTATTTTAGTGCATAACCTCATAAGAGCCAATGCTGGATCTTCAAATTTTGTTTATTTAAACTCTCAATAATTAATACCGGTTGAAAGGTCAAGATTGTCATCTAAATTTTTTAAATACTTCTCGCTATTACAGGAAAAAAAAAATTAATTTCTGTTGATTTATTAAACTCTTTCACTTGGCACCCTTAAGGGTATTCTCCCTGCGAAAAAAATGAAAAAAAAAATTCTCAAAAAATTGGGCTCACATGATTCAAAATTATCTGAAACATCGACATTCCCTGGGAAAACGTTTATACGACCTTTTGGTGCGACTTTTCAAAAAATTTGAAAATTCTCTTTAAAAAAAAATCTTCACGAAAAAGGCTCCGATGACTCGAATCATCTGAAACGTGGACGATCAGAATCCCTGATAGTTACAAAATTCGACCCTCAAAACGCATCACATTGGTTCTAGGAGAAATGTTCCCCGGAAAATCGTACCCCAGGAAATTTGTTCCCCGGAAAAATGTTCCCCATTTCTTTTTTTTTCTGTCTCAATCCTTGAAAAGTTCCCCATTTTTTTCCTGCCTCAATTCTCGTTTTGTTTACATACTTATTCCTCTGAATGGCCAGTGTTTACTTCTTGATTCAACCGGTATGTAATATTTCGGTATTATTGTGATTTGGGTTTGAGAGGGGGGGGGGGGCCTCATTGAGAGATGTCATTATCGTATATCGAGTAACGTGTTCATCAGGCTTACAGTTGTTAGCGTGGTATCGCTATTCGTAGGTACTTGTTGTTGCATATAATCAATTAAAATGGTGGATATTGTTGCTTATTTGCTACTCCGCTCTGCATTTATGCTGCTGTCCATGGCATCTTATAAATTTTGTCGCAGTAATTCTGGCAGGAAAATGTTGGTGACTGAGAGTGCTTTAGCAAATAAGCAACAATATCCACCATTTTAATTGATTATATGCAACAACAAGTCCCTACGAATAGCGATACCACACTGACAACTGTAAGCCTGATGAACACGTTACTCGATATACGATAATAACATCTCTCAATGAGCCCCCCTCCCCCTCTGAAACCCAAATCACAATAATACCGAAATATTACATACCGGTTGAATCAAGAAGTAAACACTGGCCATTCAGAGGAATAAGAATGCCAACAAAACGAGGATTGAGGCAGGAAAAAAAAGAGGAACTTTTCAAGGATTGAGACAGAAAAAAAAGAAATGGGGAACATTTTTCCTGGGGTACGATTTTCCAGGGAACTAGTATCCGGTAACCATCACATTTGCGTCTGCCACAGTATCAAACACTGCCATAATATGGAGCAAAAAAAACATTATTTTATGGTAGATGACTTCTTAAATCATACAGATTCGAAAATCATTGATAAAATATACAATGTTTCATTTTTTGACAAAAACTGTTTTCAGATAAAGTGCTCTATGTCAAAATGTATTGAATCGATCGGCCCAAAATTTTCCACACTAGTGTGACTCAATAGTATTAACTATTACCCAAATGTTTTAATTCTATTTCCAACTTCTACGTGTATTGTAGAACGTCAAATCAACTCTGAGATGAAAAAATTAGAAAAACGCGAAAACTTTCTATGAATGGGTTTCCATATTTCGATTGATCTCGATAGAGGATATCGAGGCGATCATTTTGAAAAAAAAATTGTTCCGGCGACCAGTAGTTTAAGACATGTTAAGCAAAGTATATTTTCACGAAAAGTTGAATATCCCCTAAACTACTCGTTTGATTTCATCCCTCCACAATTTCAGCTTGTAGTACCAGAAAAGTTACAATCGTGCCAAATTCCAGCTTTCGATCTGAATGTTTTCGAAACTGATCGTGCCTACACCGATTTTATCGAAAAAACGAAAAATGCCGATTACTACCAAGTTGTCCCTGGTTAAGTAGACATATTATCACTTGATTCGATATATATTATCACAAGGAATATTTTGACGTAAAAAAAAAATCAATTCGGTCGCGTACTTTTTGAGATATTGAGCAAAAAAGATTTTTGAGAAATTGCTGTATCTCAAAAACTACTTGATCGATTGAGCTGAAGTTTCGTCCAGATGTGCTCCCAAACAATGCTAATTATTTCATAAATTTTCAGATTTTTATCATCGGCTTTACTTCTTTTTTCGTGGAGATATAAAAAAAAATTCCGAAAAATTGACACACACACACACACACATTTTCTAAAAACATCATCTCTTGAAGTTTCATGACATTCTACATCATTTCCAAGCAAAATTAGAAGATCGTAAAAATGGACGTGTCCCAAGCTTCTATTAGGAAGCAAAAATGGATTTCGATCGTCTTTTTCTCTTCCCCTCATATTCAATGGACGCTGGTGGGTCATTCGCAGGATTCGGCAAGTATAATACCACCGGTAATTTAACAAATTTTCATGGAAAACTTGATAAATTAAATTAAATGTAAAAAAACAAGTAATTCACTAACGAAATTTTAGAGATTTTTGACCATATGTCTGGCCATCGTGCGTGATTGAAAAGAACACATAATATGCAAGTTTTGCAAGGCTCGCATGGCCATAACAGGCCTGTTTTTATGGAGGAATGAGAACAATTGCATCCTAATTTGCCAACATTTTCTGAATTTATTACGAACAATAAAACAAATGAACATGGAGTAGAAAAGGAATAAACACAAAGGTTCCCTCGTTCTTAATATTAGTCTCAATATAGTGTGATGATATCCCTCCTAAATAATTAATAAATGTATAAACATTGCCCTGATTGATATATCATTAATTTTTCATTACATTATCAATAATCGCACCTACTTTGAATGCACTGTCGTCCCGAAGCCCAGCCTCGGTGACATTTCAGTTACTTTTGCTATACCATACATTCTTAATGATAATTATTAAAACATTGATTTTTCTTCATTCAATTCGTTTCTATCTCACATAGTTGATTTAATAGTATATTTTCCCTCCCTTGGTGGGAAATATACTATTTCTCCGCTTTCAAATCAGCTTTCAATTGTTACATTTCATGAATTGGATGAAATCAGGTTTTCGTTCATGAAATTTTGTTACATCCCCCATTTCCGGTCAATTTTTCTTTCTCAGTTCAAAGAGAAAATGATCATCTTATTTTTTTCATCGATTTTTTTTTACTTTTTCTTCATTTCATCGCTATTTACCTATTGACTGGGCTACGAAACGGTGCGAAGTGAGGAGGAATCGAAGATGATAATTTGATCATACAAATTTCGACAATTTCAACTCTGATCTTGTGACAATGCTCCGTATTTATTGTCCAATGAAAGCTTTGGCGCTTGGCTTTGAACTTCTGGAGTTGTGTAGGATCTGGTACCACCTCGGTTACGGACTTCCTCGAAGGAACCTTCGTCTCGCTTTCTAAACATGAAAGAAATTCAAGATTTAGTTTTTTGCTTCTCTTCTCTTTTAGCAAAGAAGTGGTAAAATGTGGCGAGTCATTTTGTCAAATTTTGTTATACGAGAAGGTATATTAATAAGTGATTCCAAGGGAGTGTGTGGAAAGATTCCTCCTATAGAAAAAAAAATTATTGAGAAAAACTTCAAGAAAGGCTTTTATTTAACAGTAATCATCCTTGCACTGAAAATCATTAAATATTTTTTTTATGTTATCAGAGAATAGTCATTCAGAACCAGCCAATGACTGGCGAAATCGTTCAGTTGAGTACCATGTAATAACCAGCGGATTTTTAAAATTTCGATGTAACCGCTCAATTTATTACTATTATTACGGATTATTTGGCCATAATACGATTATCCACATATGTACATATTCTGCAAAAAAATTGAATGAAAATTGGCCACTTTTTTTCAATTTTGTTTCCAAAATCCACCTCTAAGAGTGTGAATAGAGAATGAATTATAACAGGAATATTAATTATTCCAGGCGGTTTGCCGGTTTCCGGAAAATCTGAAAATTGCAGGTTTTTTCCAAAATTCAATATGTTAGGGATAAATCCCTGGGTTCTGCTAATTGGAGATAAATCTCCCTACAGTGGGTAGATACTGGAATCTGGTATATTACTCAGTAGAAGTAGAGGTATTTATTTATTCAAACTAACTCATAGTTATCCTGAAGGGATAAATATGAGGAATTTACAAAGATGATACCAAACAAGTATTATGCTTGATTTACGTTGACGACTGAACTCCCGAATCCTCGTGAGTTCAGTTTATATAATAATTAAGGGGGTCATGTTATGACACTGGTCAGCAGTGTTGCACATGCACGCTGAATTAGTAAAATAATGAGTGAAGCAAGTTGAACTCAATTCATTGTTCAACTTCTTCACTTTTGTAAATAAATTATTACTTAATTTATTGACCCTATTCTGGGGCATAACAAAGATAATTCTGGGGTTTTCCGAAGAATTCAAGAAAATTATGAGGTTTCCTGAAGAAATTTGAGAAAATTCGCGGGTTTTTCGAAAATAAAAAAATTTTGGTATTTCTTAAACATTCGAAATTTTTCGAACAAAAAGCAAAAAAACAGTTGATTGACGAGGGTGGAATTTTTCGATTAAAACTGATGTTAAGGGGTCACGTGATCCCAAACACTACACCCTGATTGGTTGAAATGAGAGAAAAGAGAATAATTTTAAAAATTCGGGAAATACCTTGGAATTCTCAATCATTTTACAAAAATTTCAAGTTCTTGAAAAGCATTCCCAAGAATTTCTGAATTTTATCGAAAATTTGAGAAAATTTCAGACCATTTCTCAAAGTTTCAAGTTCATGGAATTGTCGCATAAAATTCTGAAAAAGAGCATTAATGAGGAGAAAATACTCCGAATCAGAGAAACAGCATCAGAATTGGTTATATAATTTTTCTATAAAAAAAATGCATGCTTTTATAGGGCTATGAAATGAAATGAAGGGGAGGTGAAGACTAGATAATTCTGGGCTGTAAGTAATTTCATAATTATTGTTTTGCACTCGGAATAAAATTTGGATTATAATTATAATTAAAATTGGCTAATTTTCATTTCCTTCTGAAAAAATTCATTCATTTTTCTTTTCTTCATCTTAAAATCCCGAAGCTTATTTCAATGTTAATTTCACTAGAAACATGAAATTCTAACGATTAAGCAAATCCGTTCATTTTACTTTCGAAATACATAGCTCAATAATAGTTTTGTTGCACCCACTGCGATTTTCATCGTTTATTACGGTCGTTTATGACTTTATTACGACCAAACCCCTACGGCCACTGATTTGTATAATAATAGAGTCTATATACCCGGATAGCTTGTCCTTATGGGCCACTGATCTCTATATAACTGGATAGCCGATCCCTATGGCAGCCAGTGAGTTTATTAGAGAGGTACGCAGCGCCTCCGGATAGTAGTCAGCGAACTAAGATTCTCTCTAGTGCGCATGTCCGTGTCAGCTGCGGGTAGTGGGGCAGTGGTAAATTTACCGACAGGATTGGGAAATATTATAGGATATTTCACCGTGTAGGACATCCAGAATAACAGACGAGCTTTTGTTAATAATCAGTGAAAACTGACATTGTCTATAAACGCGAAAGGTAGCCGAAGCATGGAGGAATATCGAAATTAGTACAATTGTTATTAATATTGTATTATTAATGAATTGTATAATCGTTAATAATTGAAAAAATTGAATTTTTAAAAACTACAAAGAATCGCCAAAGAATGTTATTAGATTTTTTTAATCGTAATTTTTTGCTAGATTTAATTGACGTTTTAGTTTTTTCAAAAAATCAATTTTGAAAAATCAGGATTTAACCCACTGTCTTATGTCAAAGTCCATAACTTTGTTGTAGAGCAAGATTGAAATCGGAATTTTTGACTCAAAATATGAAAAAAAATCAAGAAATTTTTTGACACATGATACAATATGAATGACCGTTTTTTAAACAATATCCATTATTTATTTATAAAACGGAGATGTTTGAAAAGAAAATAATATGTTGAAAAATGTAATTTGAATGATGCTGATTGTGTATGAATTTTTTATAAATTTTCTCACGTAATTTAATGGAAAAATTTAATAATTGAAAATCTCGACATCTATAGTGTGGTCAGTATGAACTTGTAGCCTACTGATGAGCTACATTAAGGAAATTAATGTATTCAGGAAATTGGGAAACTCAAAATAAATATTCAACTGAATTTATTCGTTCGAAATTTTTTTGTATTTATTAAACTATAATACACCTAGACTGATCGGAATTTATGGATTGAGTATACTATACTAATTTTACTTTTTTCAATTATTATTTACAATTTGGGACGGAGAATGTTTCCACGGCAATTTTCCGAGCATGTGGCCCCCACTGCGGCGCGCATGCGCATTGACGTCATCTTTAGTACCTGAGCTACTATACGGCAGCGCTGGCTGACACTTCAATTCGCCTCACTTTGAGAGTGGTGGGAGCATAGGGATCAGCTATCCAGTTATATAGAGATCAGTGTTATGGGCCCAGTACGCCAAAAGTGAGGCGATTTGAAGGCTCACCCAGCGCCATCTATTACGGGCGGTGGCACTCAATCCGATATCAGTGCGCATGCGTCATCTAAATTGTTGCTAGTGGGAATGGTAATTTTACCGTGCGTTCATAACCAAAAATACATTGTGGAGCTGAGTGACGTGTTTTTATTTGTCTTGTGATATTGTTTATTAACTTACCAAGGAGAATAATTTAAAATTAAGTTGTTGAACCATTATATCTCATATCAGTTACAATGGTTTGTCGTAAGAAAGATAAAACACAATGGAAAAATCTATCGTTTCATGAGTAAGTATGTAATATCATATAGTCAATATTCACCCTTGGCGACTGAAGGATTCAATCAAATAACAAATAAAAAAATTGAAAAATAAATAGAATAGGAATAAAACCCCCTGATGGACACTATTTGGACAAGTTTTGTTTTTCATCCATTCATCATTTTTCATGAGCATAAAGACGGTAAAATGTCAAGGGCATTTCTGGTCCTGACTGTCATATTACCACCTCCCACTTCGTTTATCATGCCCTATCACCGCCGGTGATAGGGGCGCTGGGTGAGCCCTCAATTTGCTTCAGAAGCGCTTTAGGGAACAAGCTATCCAGTTCTATAGAGATCAGTGCCTACGGCCCAAGCAAGACCCCAACTACCATCCCTCTTTCTTCCTTATCTACTCCAAGACCCCAACTACCATCCCGACTTATTTCCTCCCACTCCATTCCTCAATTTGTCCACGATCCCGAACCAATCAAATCCTCGAATTTTCTCCCACACGTTCATCCACCAATCTGTATCTACCGCAAATCGTTCGGCAATACATACACCAAACTGTATAGTCCAGTCATTCTAGATTGTGCATATCAAGACCTCTTGAAACCGATGAAACTTATATCAATCGGTAGCTTATGATCCCATGATCAACATACTAGTTTGTTTAAACTCATCCATGTAAGGAAAATTTATAATTAATTAAAAACTATCGAAAAATGCGTCCGACTGCTCTCAACTCGGTATTTCTCGGATATTTCTCACTCAATCGCAAAAATAAAAATACTATCTTGAAGCGAATAAAATTTACTTTGAAATACAGTTAGGAATCGATATGTAAAAATGCACGGTTAATTTAGGATTAATTTTTCAAGAATTCTTTGGCGATTTCACGTCAAACGATCAGCTGACCGAGACGCCGCGCCTCTTGGCGGCGGGCTCTGAGTCACGTGATTGCCGCCATGCGCAGACGATTCAAACACGCAGTAAGTTCCCGTAGCGTGAAAATTGGATTTTTTTTGTCTTAACTTTTTTTTAAAGTGTGATGGGTATGATTCAATAGAGTTATGATAAGATAATTTGCAAAACAAATAATTTGTATATTTTCTATTCAATATTCTATTCCTTAAAATGAATGAGGACAACACAATAAATTAGCGCAATAATAGTACAATATGAAATCGGTATTAAATACATAATAATCGATAATAATATATTAAAAAGTCATGAACGATCTGGATTAGTGCCAAAAATAATAAAATTAATAATAATGCTAGTAATATAGCACCGTTATAACAATACACATTCGAAATATCTAACGTTGAAACAGAAATTTTGTTTGATGAAATTTCAGATCTAATTGTTCTGTAAAAAAACAAATTAAGATAGTTAAATTATTGCTGCTGCCAGAATTGTAAGTATTTGATTAACAGTATAAATTGCAGCAATACTCACTATTCGTCAATGGGATTCTCCTCTTGAACACGTCATTTTTTGCTCGTACTGGGCCCACTCTCATCGTCAAAGTCATCTTCAGGGTTCATGAATGGGACGAACTCTGTGCTGTTCTCATCATAGCCCTCAGTGGCTACATCGTCGACATGTTGACTAAGTGTA